TGCGCGTAGCCTCTGTGTTAATCATGATCGTAATATAACAGAATTTACTGAGTTTTTTCAATAACTGATTTAACTCCGCAGATTTTATCTATATTTTAAACGAGGTTTGTTTACCTAGAAGATTTTCTTCTAGACTACCTATTTAGAAATGGTATTGATCAGGTTTTGTAAGAGTAAAAAATTTTCATTTTTTTAGACATGACCGCGTGATATCTCCCTGAATGCCCAATTTTCTAAGCGATAATTTTAAAATACTTATTTAATTGATCAACAAAATCAAATTGATCTGGTTTAGGATTCTGATTAATACCGCGGCACTTCTCAAGAACTAGACATAATTTTTAAAAAGTTATTACATTTTCCATTTCAGATCATTTGAAAGTGTATGCAACTGCTTTAAGTGACCAATAATCCTCAACTTAAAACCTTTTGTTTGTTTGTTTTTTTTTGTTCAAGTTCAATTTCGTACTTGCGATGGTTAAATAATCTCAATAATGATACGCTCACTGTTATGACTGGTAAGTGTATCGAATGTGTTTTAGGGAGCTGAGAGGTGCGAACGAGAAGGCAGAGCAGCTGCAGAGATAGTTTGCTGAGGTGGACCAGCAGGATGTGAAGCACAGGGCAGATGTCAAAAACGCCAGGGAGGGCATACCCAAGCTGAATAAGGAAACGGAGACACTGGGCAAAAAGGTAAAGGCCTGCTGCTGCTACTGCCTCTTTTTTATTATGCGTTATGATGACCGAGTTTTGTTAAACCAGTTCGTGTATATTTTATGCACATAGCCGAGTTTTTCAAAGTTATCTAAATCATCGTTTCATGGTGAAAGCAATAAGTCTCAATACACAAGCAAACGATTGTGCCAAATTAAGTGTTCATTTTCACTCTACAGGCACATAATAATTACAATCGATGACGTCGAGGATCAGTTAAAGCGTATCATAGGCGGCGATTTACTCCGACTCGGAAATCTATCGCAATTGAATTGAGGCAAACTAATTGAAAATCTTAAGTATTTTCTTGATTTGCTGGAGTCAGACGAATCGAATCTGGTGTCTGATAATTTAGCTTGAAAATACGTGAAAACTAAAGTCAGAAGAGTAGTAAAGACAGTTTATTGACTTGAGAAGGAACTGCTGACTTGAATGTAATTAATTGTATTTAATAAGTCTGATAGTTGATTATTTTTTGTTTGTCTCTTTTTTCCCAGATTGAGGACGCGCAGAAGAGTGTGGGTGAGAAGAGAAAACAGATGGAGAGGCTGGAGGAGGAGCTGAAGAGAGTGAAGGGGACGAAGAAGGAGTTGGATGAGGAGTACTCGGCTGCTGTGGAGTCCATAGACACCAGGAGTCTGCAGCAGGAGAAGCAGACCAAGTGCAAACTACTCATCTCTAAAAACGAGGCCAGTCAACTAGAACTAACCAAACCCACTCCTAGTTGGCAGTTTCTCTAGCCGCAATCCAGTCATCTCTCAACTGTTTGCTGGCCCTGAGAACGCTTTGTGTAAAATTGTGATAAGTGCCGAATACCTGCATTCCATGTATTTATTCGGTATAATTTTCAACCACAAACATGTTTGCCATCAAAACATTTTGCAAATGATGTCAAACAAGATAAATGCTTTATTCGTCAGCATTGAAAGTGGTCTGATTTTAATCAAAATTTAAATGATGTTTTGTAAGTATTGCGTATAATGAATTTGGAAATTTCGTACTTTAAGAGTAACGCAAAAATAGTAATAGACAGATAAGAGATGTCATGGCAACAAAGCATCAGGAAAGCACTCTTTTTTCTCCAGACTACAAACAAGTGCAAGAGTGAAGTAGACAGAGCACATGCGAATCTGGACATGTTGAACATGACCAGGAATAGATTGCACAAACAGTGGCAACAGGCCACGACGGCGGCCGAGAAGCTGCAGCAGGATCTTCACGACAAGACTCAGTTCGTGTTCACTTTTATTTCATGCCAGACATTCTTTTTTTCCTTTATATTTTGTATGCACTAGTCTTTTGAGTGGATGAAACATCAACGTAGCTCACTAAATTGCCCATTGGTGATTGAAGAGTTCGTAAATAGTTCATACTGAAAGTAATTATTGTGATTTGGGTGATGTTATGGGTGATTTTTCCTAACTGATTTGGAATTGATCTTTCTTATTCGGTTCAAACTGAAAGATCACTTCCCGATTTTTGTTAAAATTAGCTGGTGAAACATGACCTTTAGTCATTGGTTCGTGCAAGTTTGTGAGGGTGATTCACCATATATATTTGATCTGAATCACTACGCAAATATCAATAATATATTCCTGATTAATCAACCGTTTGTCGCTGCAATAACCTTGATAGATGTAATAATTCCTTTTGTGTTCTTGAAGTTTCTTGAACAATTTGCAGTTCTTCAGCTTCGAATTAGGACTAAGCTATGGGTCATTTTGTAAGTATTCAGTTGATGTCTTGAGAGTATTTTTGCAAGTTTTCCAATAAGTACATTTTAGCAGCCGTATAAAACCGCCAGTAACCGGTATTAAATACGTTTTGCACATTGGTTTTATTTCGCTATAATCACGATCTGTAGAATTGGAAATTTCATAGCATATGTTCTCCACTTCATTTGTGGCTAGTATTTACGACTTATTAAACGCCCTTCGCTGAGTTGTTAGTGCGTGAGACTCATAATAACTAGGTCGCTGATCACATCCGAGATGTACCCGAGTTTATACTAATTCGAGATTTATTTCTACTTTTTCTTATTGCTTTTATAGAGCTGCTTTTTGTCATGTTTTCGCTAATATCTGCGAAGCTTAGCATAGCCTCTACTTTTGTCCTATATTGTTGTATAGCAAGTGGCGCGAAGCTCAGCTTCACCTCTGTGTCAATATTTTTCAGTTTTTTGTACATGCTTTTTATGATTGTGTTGTATCGCAAGTAGTGCGAAGCTCCGCGTAGCCTCTGTGCAATATAACAGAATTTACTGAGTTTTTTCAATAACTGATTTAACTCCGCAGATTTTATCTATATTTTAAACAAGGTTTGTTTACCCAGAAGATTTTCTTCTAGACTACCTATTTAGAAATGGTATTGATCAGGTTTTGTAAGAGTAAAAAATTTTCATTTTTTTAGACATGATCGCGTGATATCTCGCTGAATGCCCAATTTTCTAAATGCTAAAAAATCCAAAGAGGAAAAGTGCATGTACATTGTAATATATTCTATTCGCAATTGCAACTAAAGAAAGAAAACTGATTTCTAATTTTTAATTGTTCTGAAGCAAGTTCTGATAATAATGTTGGTATGAATTGCCGATTGTTCTAACCAGGTGCGGATCTACGTTTTTCTCGAGGGGGGGACTTTCAAAAAATGTTCGAAATTTTTTCGACCTTTTTTTTGGCCGACCGAATTGATTTTTCGAGCTCTCCCTAACCACGGTTTGGTCCGTTTCGGACAATTTTTCTGCACCGCAACCAAATTTTTGAAAAAACAGTCCAAAAAAGGCTTTTTAGGCACTTATAGGAAAATTTTGACCAAAAAATCGCGTTTTTTCGGCGCAAGCTCCCCCCTCAAAATTAGTATATATTGGCGCCAAAGGCGCTTTTAGAAAATTTTTAGGGTCGATGGGCCAAGAATGGATTTCTTAAAAAATACCAAAGGGGGATCCTCTGGTCGGTAGGAGGTCGAATCCCTGAGGGGGGGGGGGGGGGCGGACGGCCCCCTAAATCCGCTACTGGTTCTAACTACCAATGATTGGAAAACCAAGCAGAAAAAGGTGGGTTTTGAAGTAATCGAGATTAATTTTTGAGAATCGATGAACCTGCTTCAGACTTTTCTGAAGGTGGCGATGATTTTTCTTTTGCTTTCTTTTCAGTTAGTCTTAAATTTTGTTCAGGCTCAAATTTAATTTCTCACGTTTTGATTTTTGATTTCTTTTTAAATTCACTTCATTTTTTTGTTGAAAGGAAGGCAAACTCCAGTATTGAACAGGAAAAGTCACGAACAATGTGATCGACTTCTAATTTCGAAAGTGGAATTTATGTTTACGCTTGCGATTAGCAAGCGATATCAAATCGGAATAGACTTTTTTTTAAGCTAACAATTAACAAAATGAGTTGAATCACTTGACATGCTCAAATTCATGATATTCGAGTTCAACTACTAATTACGGCTGGCTACTAATTACTACAGGGGGACTTGAAAAAATGCTTTCACATTGAATATTGAATTTTTTAATTGAGTATTTATCGATTTTTTAATGATTTTTTTGTTTTTATTGTGCTATGACTGTCGAATATGCCTGGCTTCTATATCTTGTCTGATTACCTCAGCGAGCTTGCGAGCGATAGTGTACTAGTGCGAAAATTCTTTGTCTAACCTTACTCGCAAATAAAAGTGTTCAATAAAAGTGCTCACTTATTTGGTGGCACTTTTTTATGCAGTGGAAATTACACTACCATATATTATCTGCATAGTTCTTGAAATAATTGAATGTTCTGCGTATTTATTGAATGATAGTAAAATTTTTGAATTTTTTTCATTAGTTTTATTATTATTTTTTTTCAATTATTTTTTTTTGTCATTTTTCTGCAAAAAGTATTTTTCTGCTTATTGTAATATGACTGTCGAATATGCCTAGCCTCTGTTCATTGTCTGATTACCTTAGCAAACTTGCAAGCGTTAATGTATTAGTACGAACATTCTTTCTCAGTACGAACAGTATAACTTAACTCGCAAATAAGGGTTCATTAAAAGTGCTCATTTTTTGGTAGCATTTTGCTATAATCACGATCTGTAGAATTGAAAGTTTCATAGCTTCTGTTTTCTGCTTCATTTGTGGCTAGTATTTACGACTTATTAAACGCCCGTCGCTGAGTTGTTAGTGCGTGACACTCATATTATCTAGGTCGCTGATCACATCCGAGATGTACCCGAGTTTATACTAATTCGAGATTTATTTCTACTTTTTCTTATTGCTTTTATAGAGCTGCTTTTTGTCTTGTTTTCGCTAGAGTTGGCGAAAAAAAAGCTTCGCCTCTTTATAATTTTTTCTTCAAATTTCGATTGGTTCGAAAAAGTCGTTTTTGTTTTTCGCTTTTTAAGTACCAAGAAAGCGCTGAATGAACCATCAAAAACTGTTTTTGGTGGCAAGGTTTCTTTTCTCAGCTGGCTAGTTAGGAGGAATGAAAACATCAGTTTGTTCGAACAGAAATAATTTGAAGTTTTCTTAATTGGTGTTTTTTGTACAAGTTTCTTCTACGAATCTTTTTCTCGTTTAACTGATTCTTCTTCTTTCACAGTTAGAGGATAGACTGTGCCATCCAACTCTTACTCATTTTTCGTCGGAATGACTGTGAAAGACTGTTGAAGCATCTATAGGTTAATCTTGCCTCCAAGTGTTTTAGCTGTTATGATTTTAGTTTCCGAGATATGACATTTTAAATGATTTTTTCAAATTTTTCAAAGAATTGAACAAATAAAAACCTTCACAAAGTTCGAAGTTTCCAACTCTACGAGCCTATCCTTTCATTAAACAAATCGCATTTGCGCTCACAAAAAAAAACAAGCTTAATTATGATCGATTTAAGTAACTTTTGAATTGGTGGTTTAGAAAGAGCAGAAGGAGCTGAAGGTAAAGCAGAAAAATCTTGCATTGCAGCACGAATGCGACCAGCTGGCAGCCAAGATCAAAGACAAGAACTCACAGATCAACAGCTACACCAAGCAGGTCAATCCATAGCTTTATTCTGGCAATTGAAGGAGGTTCACCAGCCTTTTTTTAATGTAAACCAGTGATTTGAACTGATATTTAAGTACCTGTGTTTCATACATTTGGGCAGCGTAAAATGGTTTCGTTCTATATAAAGAGCCTTTGTTTTCAAGTTTCAATGAATGTAATGAGGACGATTATGTAAGATGTGGTGACTTTTTTGTTTGTTGTTGTGCCGATGATTTTTTTTCGATTTTTTTGTTTAAGCTCAATTTTTTTTCGCGGTTTGACATTTGATTTTTTTTCAGTTCCCTTCGTTTGTTAAAAGCAAAATCCACTATCGAACAGTGAAAGTGTAAAGGTCACGAAAGGTTTCCAAGATTTCGGGTTCAATCTAAAGAATTGGTAGTGGGATCGAAACTACAGGTTGTATAGATTTGTACTCTTATTGTCATTCCATCTTTTCTGAGATTGGTTTTTGTTCTGTCTTCTAAAGTTTGAGTTTTTGTTTCCAACTGCCATTATAGGATCTTGTTTTATTTTCATCTGTGTCTCCCGCAATTGGCCCACTCCTGTGCTTCCGTTACCTGATTTTTGGAACGCCTGAGTGGTTTGCTTACTCTGCTCAAACTTTACAGCTCGTTTGAGTACTTCGTCTGGCGTGAAAGTTTCAAAAGTCAAAGTATCTTGTAATACTGCATTTCTCATTCTAGATATGAATAAATCTCGAACCAACTCCTCCTCTAGACCGCCCAGTTCGGCCGTAGCTGCTTGTGCAATTAATGCCGCGTGAAACGATTCTAACGTCTCACCTGTCTCCTGAGCTCTAGTGAACAGTCTATATCGTTCGTACGTAATATTTCGTGTCTTTTCGAATGGTTATTTTGACTGTGCCACCATTTCTCGAAATTCCAGTTTTGAAACTTCCGCGTGTGGGTTTTTCTGTACAAATTTCTTTTTCCCTCGGTACCAAGTGCCAAGAATAAACGAGACGTAAGACGTTTTTGAACTTCATTATAGAAGAATACGTTATGTCCAACCTTAGCTCCACGCTCCCTTCTTTCTTGGTTCTCAAGTATTACTTTATCTCGTAGTTTATCCCTTGCTTCTCGTTCCGTTACTGCCTGTGCATTTTGAGCTTCTCCCGGAGTTTCTGGACGAGGCATCGGTTCATCAACTACTTCTTTTGGGTGTTCAAGTATTATCTCAGGATTCACATTTTCTTTTACCGTCACTGCTAGCCTAAATTGATCCAACCAAACTTTAAAATTCCACGGTGGATCCGAACTAGCTGACGTCCAGAACACTGAGATACCCATTTCCGTTCGATTATCCTGTGCCATGTATCCTGCTGGCTGCGCCATGTGATAGGGGATGAATTGGTGTAACTCAATTTCAAAACAATTGGTTAATTCAAAGTGTTAATTTAAACTTTGAAGTTGAATCTCTTCTGTTTCTCGGTTCCGCGAACCAGCTCATAATAACGTATCTTGCGTACGCAGAGCTAAGACTAAAAACTGAATCAACTTGATGGTCCCCACCAAGTGACCTTGATACTACGTTAATAACAATATTACAACATAATTACAAATAACAATATGAATCCCAAGGTCAGTGATTGTGCAGCAATATCACAATAGCTACTGCACTTGCAGTAAGTGCTGTACCACACTCCCCCTGGGTTAAACAAATTTTATATAGTAAACTTATAAAATTTTGGTTTTTGTTCTGTCTTCTAAAGTTTGAGTTTTTGTTTCCAACTGCCATTATAGGATCTTGTTTTATTTTCATCTGTGTCTCCCGCAATTGGCCCACTCCTGTGCTTGGTTTTTGTTCTGTCTTCTACGAGATTGGTTTTTGTTCTGTCTTCTAAAGTTTGAGTTTTTGTTTCCAACTGCCATTATAGGATCTTGTTTTATTTTCATCTGTGTCTCCCGCAATTGGCCCACTCCTGTGCTTCCGTTACCTGATTTTTGGAACGCCTGAGTGGTTTGCTTACTCTGCTCAAACTTTACAGCTCGTTTG